TCATTGCCATTGTAGTTTCGTGAGTGATGCCAACAGGAGCTATCCATCAAAGCCTCGTGAATCCCACAGAAGGCGTGTCATTGTGGAAAATCCCCACCCTGAGACGTGCATTCTTGTGGCGATTTCGGCTGGTGGCCTTGTTGCTCACAAGATGAAGAGCATGGGTTCGGTTACCACATCGACCGAATTCATGAGCTTTGTGCAAATGGTGCTTAAGAAGTATGATTCTGAAGCAACCATGTTCTATGGCTTCGACAGTGCACCTGCCGAGATAGCCAATGCTATCAAGGATCAGGTTGCAAGTCGTGGCCATGGACACAAAGCTTTCTTCCTTCCTCGTAGTTCACTTGGGAATCCAGCTACATGCTTATTCCATGATGTTCTACAGACCATGAGTCGAAAGCGATTGGATAGGTCACGCAATGAAGGTGTGGACATGCGTTTTGAAAGTGCTCTTAGCAGAGTTACTTCAAGCATGTGTTCATTGTACATCCGCCAATCATTCCCCGCTGATGAATAAATCCTCATCCATCCCACTCCTTTCCTTTCTACGCTCTTTTTTGTATGCCCTGCCACTCCTTTTCTTTGTATGCTCTTTACTCTTTTTCTTTGCTTGTATGCCTTATCTTTGTATGCCCTTATTTTTAATCATTTCATATACCCATGCTTTCCATAACTTGTATCAATATATATGCTTTCATGTCTTTATGTATCCAAACTTTTCATCATTCACACTTTTAGCTGTAGCCGGGTATTCCATACTCATATGTAAGTTCGCCAACGCTGTGTACATGCATGTGCGATATGGTTTGGTTATCTGCGTATTGTATCGGCCAACAACAACAGTGCTTTTGGAAAGAGAAAGGATATCACTGTTAATGACCAGCTACATGTGTTGGTAAACGTGATACTGCTTTCATGTTGTTTATCTATTGCTGATGTCTTGTCGATTGATGTACACTGTTGTATGAAGCTGTGTAGGCTTTGGGTGGTGACATGTCATGCAGAATTAACCTTGGAATCCCGACAGCCCTCGACACTGAAAATCCTTCAAGTTGCGCTTTTTCATGGACACCTCTTTGCTCGTACTCTCCGCATTGCTTCTTCTCCAACAATCTGAACCACTCTACAATCTGCTGAGCACCTTGCAATTCGACACATGTTGTGTTCACCAAGTCATCGGGTCAATCGGTTCCACATTGCTTGTAGGCAAAACACTACTTGGCACGCGTGCAGGTAACGTTATCACCTTTCAAAGTAAGCCCAGCTTTTTTGTTGACTCCAACAACACACCTCACGCTTCGATCCTTTGGAGCCGATACGATATACCATATAGCAGGGATAACGATTCACACGATATATAATGACAATGAAGGTACGTTTTCACTTTGACATACACGGATGATTATCAAGACACCCTTCAACGTATCCAATTACGGCACCCCAGTGCAACAAATACAACGACAAGGAAAAGGGTTATTGTCAGCTACTTTATCCATCCATCATTGGCGTTGACGTCGCGCATTGAGTGGGATACATGCATTATTGTTGTAGTATTCGATCCATTCTTGAAGTTGGCCATAAAGCTACTTGTTGATGTTATCATTTCCAACCTTCGTTTGAAAGAGACGCTGGAATTTGGTCAAGGCAGTGATACGGGAGATGATGATGGGGGTGGAGATGATATGGAGGTGAGCATGCTTCTGATCGCCGTGTTGGAGCTGTTGGCGTGCGTTTATGGATGGTGAGAATCCTTGCGTGAAGCTGGCGATTGTGTACTATGTTAAAAGCTGAAAGATCGGTACATGAGCACACCCAGATACTAGGAATTGTGGATTCATTATGTGTTTATTCATTTGACCAAAAAAAAAGACAAGAAACCAATTACACGTTCCTAATGAAGATAATAGCATAGCTTTAGCTCTGCATCGTCAAACCACCCTTTTGCTTCCCTATCCTTACCTACTTGGATTCCTTTGCACATTTATCTTTCAGAGCTTGCAATTCTTTTTCCTTTTCATCAATTATATCTGCTAGCTTTTGAAGGTAGAGCTCACCACTAGGGATCCCCACGGTACCATCGGTCCCAGTACCTCAGTGGTACCGAGACCGTACCGAAAAATGGTGGGACCGACTATACCGGTACCAGGAAGGACCGAGTACCGATTCGGTCTTTATGAATCTCAAGGTGGATACCGATAACCCGGTACCGAGTACCGAGTACCGGGTACCGAGGCAATAAAAATGACAATTTTATCAATTTCCTAAAGTGAAACGTAGCAATATTCTTTTCATTAAGCCTTTATTGTTGTATTTGTGATGATGTGGTATGATGCGGTAGATATCAATCACCGATGAATGCATTGATAGCACAAGCCGATGGAATCCATTTCAAGAGATAACAGGTGTGGGCATCCTTCCACAGGCATCTTGATAAAGTGATCTATTTCATATGTCCGTCTTGGCTCTTGGGCTGGGTGTTGATGGCAGAGTTGGAATGCTGTTGAGGCTTGAGTGTTGGCCGAAATGGTGTAATAGTAGCAGTATAGCTCAAGTCGAAAAAAGCGTTGGTACAAGTGAGTGGTCCTATTGAATGTGGTGTATGAATGAGGGCCTGGTTGGTTGCCAATGGCGACCAACTGGGCCTTTTTTAGATTTGGAGGTCCATGATGGCAGAGAATTGGGAGATCGAACATCGTAGCTGGTTGTCGGAGGCATAGTTGAGTCTTGCGTGTTGGCCGAAGTGGTGTAATAGTAGCAGTATAGCTCAAGTCGAAAAAAGCGTTGGTACAAGTGAGTAGTTGTATTGAATGTGGTGTATGGATGAAGGCCTGGTTGGTTGCCAATGGCGACCAACTGGGCCTTTTTTTAGGTTTGGAGGTCCATGATGGCAGAGAGTAGATGATCATTGTGTTGAGTGCTTGGAATACATAATCTGCGTATAGCTCCATGATAATGAATGCAACTTTGTAGATACGTATATACTTGACATACAACACGCGATGGCATGATGGTATAATAATTTTGGTTTCAGTTTGGCCCTGCATGCTGGTTTGTGTAACTATAGGGATGGCATTTCCACATGCTACCAGCTTTGGCAAGTACGTTGTCAATGCTAGGATATCGAGTTGATAATGGTATAGGTATCATAGACGATTATGAAGAGCATGAAAAATAGGAGAATACTACCATCTACCAGCCCTGCTTGTTCATTAGATATCGGATTAATAAAATCTTCCGCTTGTAGCCTTGGAGACTCTGTCTCAGATGTCTAGTGGCGACTTAAATTGATCCGAGAACGCGAATACGCGTGTAAAAATTTCCAGAACGCGATTACGCGTGCAAAAGATAGATGACAGACGAAGCAATGGATAGTGATAGTTCCACGAGAACGCATAAAGTTACAAAGGAGATTGTTTACTATAGACTCGATCCACAATCAATACACGTAACTTTCATGCCCATTTCCCATATGTAACCTCGAGATACGTGCTAATCTTCATGGTACAATCGCGGCAACCTCATAGCGCTAATGCAATCGGAAATGCTGACGGGTGTAATCGGTTGAACGTTTGGTTTAACGATGATAAGGGTAAAGGATCAGGAGCTGTCAATCCAATGGATGGCCATAGATAATGATAATTAAGCCAGTGCAATGGATGACCGGTTCGGTTTCGGTTTTCACAATGCAGAAACCGAAGTTGCCTAGTTATACCGATTGATAGAACCGAACGGGCTTTAGGATGACCGATAACCGGGCTATAACCGATAACAACCGATACAACCGATACAACCGATACAACCGATACAACCGATTCAGCCGATAGAACCGATAGACCGATACAAAGGTTTTATTTCTTTCTTGACATTCAAGCTATGAATAATACTAATGTAACAAAACAAAAGAAGGATATCTCGGAATTGGGAATAAGGACTACTACAAAAGATGCCGGAACTATTTTTCATTACGCATGATGCGATCCTTCTCCAACATTGCGGCACGCACAGTAGCAGGCTTCATGGCGCTACGATTCCAACGTAGCAGCGTTCGGGCCCGGGAAAAGATTCGCTCAGACGGTGCACTTGATCCTAATAGACATAAGAAACAATTTATGCTGCTATAACAAATGTAGTGAAAATCCTACCGGGAACTGCAAGGTAATCCTTTGCCATTGCTGCTAATGTAGGGAATTGCTTCTCTGCTGAGCTCCACCATACAAGTGGATCAGTTGATGTTGGCCGAATAGGTTCAGCTAGATATTCATTCAGCTCACTTGATGTAGTTGTTGGAGCGTGGCCAAACACATGGAGATCAAAGTCTTGCTCAACATCACCGATCAAGGTGTCAACTTCCAATGCAGTACATTCCACACGCGCACGCGCACCACCAGCCCTTTGAGAGTAAAATTCGTACACAGTTGCAACACGTTTCTCCATTTTAGCGACCCATTCATTCCATTGGTGACGTTGATAATATTGTAGCTTTAACCGAGGATCAAGTACTGGGAGCAGACAGTAAGCCACGTGTTTCTCAATAACCATCATTACATACCTGTGCTAATAGCACATGCAGGAGACAAGTCAGTCTTCACATAGTACTTGAGAAGCTTCTCATTTGCCTTCTTAGCAGCAGCATGGATGTCATCGGATATATGTTCGTACGGCTTTTGTCTGGCGATTATTTTTTCAATGTTGTCAAAGAGATAATTGAAGGCAGGAACCACTGTGCCCAAGGTAGGATAGCTTTGGCCCGTGATGCGGTTAGTAGCGACATAGAACATCTACATAACATACCACACATTTAATACAAACCCATGATAACCACATACGTATTCCCTCAATCGTTACCTTCAGTATACTTGAAAGGCTTCTCAATAAAGCCCATTCCTCATCAGATAAAGCCATTGGCCTGAGGTCATTGTGGAATTGTATTGTCGACTTAACAGCTTTTTCCATGCGTAGGACGGTATTGATCATCAGGAATGTGCTGTTCCACCGAGTTGGGACATCCATCGCGAGCTTGACGAAATCAAGCTTGTTTTCAGTGCATGCTTTCTTAAGCATACGCATCATGGCACCGGAAAGACGTATAGCGCGGATAATTTTACGGAGTTAAAGACCACGGCGCATCCCCATTAATATAAATGTATGTCAGTAACGAAGTGAAAATATGACAGCATACCTTCTGTATCACCACAGGTACTTGGTGATCGCTGCTGGTGGTCCCATAATCGTCATCATGGCTATCCACATCACTATTACCGCTCGTCTCTTCATTATCATCGCCACCATTTTGGGTCCCGAGCTCATCAATGGTAACACTCGTAGTATCCTCTCTTAGTTGGGATTCTTGATGTTCCATGTTACGATCAAATACTGGATTTCCTTGAGTATCAACATCAAATGGCGTCCATTGCAATTCCTTGAGAGCGGCTTGTACTGCGAGATTGATTATGTGAGCCATACACCTATTATGCTGTTCCTTCGCCTTGAATTGAATCCCCTGGGGTGGCCAAAGCTCTTCTAATTTCTGCATCATCGTGAGGTTATTTGACGCATTATCCGTAGCAATCATGAGGACCTATAAAAAAGTTCTGGTGAGTAGTATGATTTGAGCACAACTATGTCATACCTTGGATGAGATTTGCATTTCGTTCATTGAATCCATAAACGCTCTTGCCATGTTCTCGCCAGTATGCGATGATTCGATATGAACAAAGTCCAAAAGTAGCGACTGAAGGCTCCACTTATCATCAATGTAATGACCTGTTATAGCCATATAGTCATCATTTCCAGCTGATTTCCACATATCCAATGTGATTGAGATGCGGCTCTCCAATGCCTGCCAATAAAACAGGATGAAAGTAAACATTAACATGGTGGTGGCTGCACTTGCGAGTATCATCAATTGACTTACTGAAAGCTCATTCGACAAGATTGTTCGGTTTTCAACAAAACGATCCATCAAATCGCGCTTGATTGTATCCCCTCCCAAAACTTTCGCGCGAGGATTGCAATACTTGATCATCTCTTGGAAGGTTGCCTGCTCAGTGACATGGAAAGCTTGATCGGTCCGGATTATCCAATTGTAGAGCTTTTGACGAAAAATATCCTGGTCAAATTCGTTCATCCTGGAATGCAATACAATACACCAGTATTAGTATATAATATATATTCTCTCTATTCACATATAGCACATACGGCTTTAAAAATTTGCTCATTGACCCTTCAGGTTGCTGTGTTGATGGACGGGCTATCCTGTAGATTGCATTATGGTGTACTCGCAGGTGTTGCCACATGCTGTGTGTGCTTCCTTTGTTTGCCGATACTTTGGCAACTTCCTCAGACCTATTGATATTTTAAATGAATGGTAAATGTCGATCGTATATGCTTGGGGTACCTCTTACCTTCCATTTTGCGTACATAAAAGGCAGACTACCCACTTTGCATTATCATTTGGCTCCCAGTATCTTTTGTCAAAGTACGGCCATACGCCACTTCGGGTAGCTCGCTGTTTCTGTTTTTTTGCTGACTGACTTTCTGCTTGCGATTGAGACTGGATCGTTGATTCGTTCGTTGACATTGGATCGTTCGTCGACATTGGATCGTTCGTTGACATTGGATCGTCGGATTGTGTCTCCATCGCACTACAACTTCGTTTTGAAAAGGCTGACTGTGGGTCGTGGTCGTCTTCCATGGTTGACATGGCAGCAAGCTGTTTATCACTGAAGATATTTTTTCGTCCCCAACAAATTATGGCAACTCAGCCACTTGCCATCTTCAACTCTACGTCATCTCCATACCATCACAGAAGGGCTTTTGTATTAGACACATAGGCTTTTATAGATATCAGGAACGTTTTATTTCATGCGCTATGCATCATATCAATTTCTGAATCATAGTAGCACTTTCAGTTGGATCGGTTTTTCAATTATGAAACCGGATATTTTCGGTCCACCTCTGCGGTTTCGAATTCATCAACCGAAGATGAACCGCTTCCTCAAACCGATATATTTATCGGGTGACGGTTGACTTGTAGGGACCTTAATGATAATTCATTCAGATAAAGGACAAATAAGTCGCTTCATTATGTAAGATGGTGGATCAAAACCAATGGCAGTAATTAAGCATTGTGACATTCCAATCTAAAGATGTATCCTATCGGATCAAGAGGTATAGCTACACCCTATTCGTTCGCGAGATTTGTCATTATTCATTGATGTCGTCGCTCCTGGCAGCTTCTAAATGATATAAAAGAGTAGCATTTATTGATCAAAGTACATACAAGTCTCAGGACGCGTATATCTTCTATATCTTCTTTTGTTCATATACATCGCTATTTCAACCATCATGCCATATCAAGTCGGTAATTCCTCGAACGATCCACGTGGTGCCTTGTCTGATAGGGTGTGTATACAATTCGATGGTCTGCATTAATGATCCTCATACTCACTTACCGTATTACAGCCATCATTCACTGAGGCCCTCCTTTATCGAGAAGATTCCTTGATGTCTATTCGCACCGAGTGCACAGATGACAGTGTTGATGTTCGTGAGGACATGGAGGATGGTGATTCACTTCTCTCGCCCATGGATCAAGATGCGTCGGCTTTCTATCAGGGTTCAACAGAAAGTGATGAAGGTGACAACGATAGCGATAGTGGTGCTTGGTTCTTCGTCCACAAGTATGGCATACGGTCAACAAGAAATGGTAATCCTAGGATCCAATGCTTGGTGAGCAACTGTCACAGGCATATAGCTAGCAAGTACTCGTCTACCTCTCGATTCACCAGGCACCTTGCTAGCCATGGCATCAAGAAAGACGTTGGTCCTCATATCAAGAGTGGTGAGAAACGCAATGGCCCCTTGGACATGTTCGTTCAAGGAAAACGTGCTCGTACATTCCAAGTCGAAGAGTTCCAGCGTCTGTTTGTCAAGTTTTTGGTGTCAAGCAAGTTGCCATTTACGACTTGTGAGAATGCTGCATTGCAGGAGCTCCTTGAGATGGCACGCATTGCGCCTACTGCATCGGCCGTACAACTCCCTTCGACGAGTACCTGTACGAGAAAGGTGAGTAACAATCATACTTGTGTGTGTCAAATAAAATACTTACCATAATTTTTTAGACTGAGGCTGAATATGAAATGGCTCGTGATCGATTGAAGGAGATGTTCAAGAAGGTGTCAGTTGTGTCATGTACTCTGGATGGTTGGACAAGCCCGTTCAATCAACCATTCCTTGCGGTGACTGCACACTGGATTGACAAGGAGACATGGACTCTGAAGGAGGTGATCATTGGCTTTGAGCCTGTCAATGGCCCTCACACCGGTGAAAATCTTGCTGCTGTTTTCATTGAAGTCCTTGAAGAGCTTGACCTTGGCAAGAAGTTGTTCACCATCACCACCGATAATGCCTCGAACATGACAACCATGGCCAAGCACGTAATGGAGTATGGGAAATAAGAGTCGAAGCAATGGTAAGTAAATGTTTTTTTTCAAAGTGTTCAAGAGTTAATGTACCTTTATAATTCATAGGCCTTTTCGCTTGCGCCACCACATCCCGTGCGTTGGCCACGTCTTCAACCTTGCCGTCCAAGAAATCCTGAAGAATGGTCTGAAAGCACAGGCACCAAACAGCGTGATCGACCATGACTCGTCCGATGAGCCTGCCTCACCACTCGCAAAGCTTCGAAAAGGCATCCTTAAGATTCGGTAAGTTTGTACACATATACTTGATATTGGTGATGATACTCATATTGCATGTATAGTTCCTCCCCACAGAGGTACGCCACATTTGAGCGCAAGCGTGCTGCCATGGAGTGTCCACCGCTGGGCCTTACTCTTGATGTTCGCACACGGTGGAATTCAACATACGACATGTTGAATCGTGCTGTGAAACTGAAAGATGCGTATATGGCGATGACAGTGCCTGGATCAGAGCTTGAGGCGTTTGCGCTGTCACCATCAGAGTGGGAACGTATACAAGGCATCATTGAGGTACTATATCCATTCGAGGAGAACACGACAAGGTTGTCAGCAAGCAGGTCCCATGCCTCAGTCAACATGACGATCCTGTGCTATAATCGAATCATGGATGCACTTGAGAAGATCGAGACCAAGTCCAAGGATCCTGAAATCAGGCGTGCCGTCAGCTGTGGTATCAACAAGATGGTGCAATATTACAGCCGTACTGATATGACAGAAGTCTACGCTGTTGCAACGGCTCTCGATCCACGAATGAAGTTCAAGTGGTGGAAACCTCATGGTTGGGAGAAGAAGTGGCGTGATATCAGTGAGAAGATGGTACGCGATGCATGGTGCAGGTTTTCCGGTGTGGTGTCTATTGATGACGAAGTCAATGAGAGAGCGCAAGAACTCCAGAAGCTCTTTTTGACCGAGCTTGAAACAGATGAGCTTTCGGAGTATGTTGGCCAGCCTACAGTTGCCCCAATGGTGAATCCTCAAAAAGCCGACGAGCTTATCTTCTGGGAGGTCAATCAAGCGCACTGGCCAAACCTTGCTGCCATGGCAGCTCAATATCTGGCAGTGCCTGCTACGTCGACTCCTTCTGAAAGATGCTTCTCAGCAACACGTCTCCTCCTCCCCCATGTTCGCAATCGCCTTTCTCCCTCAACGATCAAGCAGCTAATGCTGCTTGGTTCGTGGTTCGACATGAACCTCCATACATAGATTTCCTGTTTCCTTTTCCTTCCCCTTTTCTTTTCTTTTCTTTTCTTTCCTTTTCCTCTTCCTTTTTATAGACGACATATATAGATTTCCTTTTCTTTTGCTGTCTGGGCACTATAGATATTACGAGTTAATAAAAACTTTATCCACAGAAGATCTTTGTATTTAGTGCAATAAGCAAAAAGTATAACTTGAACAGTCTCTTTGGGATATACAGTATTCAGAGGATGATGCTTTAATGCTTGTGTATATATAATGTATTAACGTTGCCAGGTAGATGGTGGCTGATGTATAGGAATAGGATACAGATGGATGTATGCTTGATGCTTGATGCTTGATGCTTGACGCTTGATGCTTGATGCTGTAGTCTTACTATATATGATATATAGGCATACTTGGTCCCTCGGTCCCTCCAACGTACCGTCTACCGGTACCTTGTCGGTCCTTTGATGGTACCGATACCGGGATAACCGACATGTACCGAGTACCGATTCGGTACTCGGGCTTTTTTGGGGATCCCTAAGCATCACCCACCAATTCAAAAGGCACTACCCACGAAACCAAAAACCACCACCCACGAACTCACTTGTCATTAGCCACGAGTAAATAATCATCACCCACGAAAACAACCACCGTAACCACGAAATCATTACCCTCATGTTCTACTTCTTTTGGGAAATCCTGTATTATGATTAATGCGTACAATAGCCACGGGACAATGCTCGTCAACTGTGGGATCGATTGGTGCATCGCGTTTGAGCATCAACAAAGGGCAGCAGACAGAAGATTCTCAACCAAATACTAGTATTGAAGCAGACTCGGATCATTGAAAAGATAGGGGACCACATTTTATATACTATATATACATATATATAGAGGATTTCCAAGATGAACAGGAACATGAGGATAATGATTTCATGGTTGAGGTATATGGTTTCGTGGGTGATGATGTTTTTTTCGTGCATAATGATATATGAGTTCGTGGGTGATGGTTTTGGTTACGTGGGCTACGCTTTTGGTTTCGTGGGTGATGGTATTAACTTCGTGGGTAGCGCTTTTTATTTCGTACTCAGATTCATATGGTTTAGCGCTCGCGGATATTGGTTTCGTGGACGATCATTTAATTTTCGCGCAGGATCATTTAATTTTCGCGGGTTGAGGGAAATGGTTCGTGGAGGAGTCTTTTAACAATGGGGGAGCCAGTGAGCTGTACTCGACCTTTTTTGCATGAAAACCTCTCTTCGCCTTCCCCATTGTTAATGTGAGCGTTCATTTCGAGGATCCGCATATTTCAAGATTCGAAAATGCACTAGGACATTTCAAGTACTCGGAATGTACTAGCACATTTCAAGCATTACCTAGGTCATTTCGAGTATTTCAGAATGTGCTAGCACATTTCAAGATCATAAATCCTGGTGGATCCTGTTTGTGATACAATGCTAGGTTTCGGTATTGGCATTATATAGTCATCCAGAGCTAATGAGACAGCGTGTTGTAAATAAAATTACATGCCGTAAACCCTCCATCAAATAGCTAATATGTGTTCCATTCCCATGCTGGAAAATAGTTTTCAAGCCCATCCAAGCATATTACTGGTTTTACCAAAGCGATTCTCGCTATTATGAGTGAACAGCACAACATACCATTAGCCGAGCGACGTTGCCATGCAAGGTTCGATCCATGACAAGCAGCTGCCCATGCTAAAAGAAGAATGCAAGATGCACCAACCATTGTCACCCCGATGTTTCTATGCCTTGTTCCAATGCCTAGGTCAACCAACAAGTCACCACGCACCCACCTAGGCAAACTAGGAATAGAAAAGCACGAGTTACCAAGCCTACACCAACCCGCCCATTGACTAGAGCACTTACACACCATGAGACGAGAAGATCCAAATACTACAACTAACATCATGATTAGCCATATTACAGTAGACGTGGATAGCAATAAAGTTTTTATCAAGATGACACCACGTTGCAAACATAGAAAAGATTGCTATACTCTATAATGGTTGCCATGCAACATGTACAGGATTTCCCAAAAGAAGTGGAACATGAGGATAATGATTTCGTGGTGAAGTTGGTTCTTTTCGTGGGTGATGATTATTTATTCGTGGCTAATGACAAGTGAGTTCGTGGGTGATGGTTTTTGGTTTCGTGGGTAGCGCTTTTGGTGTCGTGGGTAGCGCCTTTTGAGTTGGTGGGCAGCGCCTTTCGAATTGGTGGGTGACACTTTTGGTTTCGTGGGCGCAGCTTTTTGTTTCCTGGAGGATGACTTTAATTTTCGCGCAGGATGACATTAATGTTCGTGGGTGGCGCTTTTGATTTCGTGGGTGACGATAAACGTTTCATACGCTGCATTGCTGGTGAACATTGCATAAGATTTGCTGATTGATGTACGCTGTTGCATAGAATGGTTTATGATCACCCACGAAATCAAAAGCGCTACCCACGAACATTAATGTCATCCTGCGCGAAAATTAAAGTCATCCTCCACGAAATAAAAAGCCATGCCCACGAAACCAAAAGCGTCGCCCACCAATTCAAAAGGCGCTGCCCTCCAATTCAAAAGGCACTACCCACGAATCCAAAAGCGCTACCGACGAAACCAAAAACCACCACCCACGAACTCACTTATCATTAGCCAGGAACAAATAATCATTACCCACGAAACCAATCACCTTAACCACGAAATCATTATCCTCATGTTCCACTTCTTTTGGAAAATCCTGTACGTAGCTAAATAAGGAAACTAGGCTTTAAATAAAACCCCGACATGGTAACAGCATGCTCCGAATCGATCTAAAACAATCTCAAAATACAGTAACATAAGAAATTGATGACCAATTTTCTACCCAAAGAAGGCTAAACCAAAGCTATACACTTGATGGACCATGGCTTATTCCTCGACACTTCTATCAGCTTTTCATACCACTGCTAATGCTGCAGATGAAGAGAGCAAGTCCAAAAACCTTGTAGATGATGAGAAAAATGCACCCAACTTTGACCTTCATTTTCTCGACAGCCAATCGCGTAAATGACTTGCCAAGCATTGTTGATGGTAATATAGAGTCGTAGTATTTGGGTGAAAGTGCCAGAATCGCAATACAGGCTTTGACCACTTCTATTTTTGGCACTTCTGTGGGTCACCATATCGAAATGTGGAGAGGTTGCCATGACATTTGCAGTACCTGAAGCCAATAGAAATATGATCGAAAACAACAATAAAGGGGAGGGATGTGTACGTAGATCGATAGTAAAAATGTGAGGGGATGGGTCGTCGATATAATATGATGCTAAACTACAGGGAATACAATGAATACAACAAGCCAACAAGTGGATTCACTGCACAATCAGTACCAGCAAAATAGGAATAGGACGAAAAATAAGCTGACGTTTATTGATGAATACAATTTCTCTTTTATACTACGAGCGATCTTTAACCAATAAATTATAAGGCGACTAGATCTAGTCGCAACTTTGGCAAGCCATATTTCCATGTCAGGCACTTTAAAGCATCCAATAAGATCATTTGCTGAAAAAGCCACCCCCTAAAAAGATTCATGCCCAAAGAAAATAATATCTGCCTCTTCGTTCTCTCTCCATTGATTGTTCAACATCATGCCCAAGTCATTAGCCAAGCTCCATGTTGGATCATGCGTCTCCTTTCTTCCTCGCGCTCTTCCCAACTTTATGGCTGCAGCTTCTCTTCAAACTCTGAAGGCGAGTAAGACGCGTCTTTTTGGAACGATCCGAGCCATCCATCAAGTCGAGAATAGCACGAGCAAAGTAGCTGTTATTGCTGTAGATGGTTTCGAGGCCTTAGAAATAAAGGTCAAGCTTGGTAATTTGAGACTTGAGATATCTGGTTCGACGCATGACACTGTTAATGTGCCTGAAACACCTGCGGGACTCGTGGACTACGAAAGCGATCAGAGCGATTCCTCAAACGATAATGATGGTGATGATGTCGATGTCGATGGCCATGATGAAGGCGAAAGTGCTGAACAGCAATGGATTGATGAAGAAGTCCGAATCGATGCTCGTATCTCTGGTGGTGGTTACAGACAAGCACTGGTTTTTACGCTCCCTAATCCTGGTTCTTGTTCAGCACTAGAGTTTTTCAAGCATTTCTTACCGACCGATTACATTGAGCAACATGTGATTTATGCAATCAATTGTTATGCAGCTTTGCTTGAAATCGAGTACTGGAAGCAACTTACCATGGGTGAATTCATGCTGTGGATTGGTTTATGGACCATCATGGCTATCGCACCCTTCCCCAATCGAAGGAAGTATTGGGAAACGAAGCCCAGCTTTCTTTTTTCCAAGGCAACGAATTTTGGTAAATGGATGAGCAAACGAAGATTTGACACCATCCTCCAAGCCTTGACACTTGAACATCCCGATGTCATTGCTTCTACTTCATCCACTGATCCACTTGTTGCTATCCGTAGCTTTGTAAAGGCGTACAACGATAACTTTGTGTGATGTGCTCAAAATAAAGGATAACAAATGAATACGGTGAGACCATGTATATGATTGATGCCTTTATTCATGGGATTATGGGTAGTCTTTTATACTTTTTCATAATGGTTGATGTAACAAAACATGTTCCCTTTTTTGGATGTAAGCCTTCTTGATTTACCACTGGACACCACATTTGCCCCCTCCAGGCCTTGTAGCCGGTGGAAAAGCGTATTATTTGCTTTGAGTCCTTGTGTCATATCTATGCTTCTTGGATTTTCCATGTTTGACGTATTATGCTACACGCTTGTGTCCGCTCTTCTTCCTATGCTGTGTGAGGACTTGTTGAGGATCACTTCTAATCCTTTTCCAGTACTTGGTGATTGTCACGGGATCACCAAAGTTTTCCGGAGGTTCCCAGGTATCGTCTTCTGTATAATCTAGCCATCGGACACGGTATAGGAAATTGCCTTTATGCACCTTATGGTCGACGATGTTTTCAAGCTCGTAGATTTCATCAGCAGGAATATCCTCTAAGACTCGTACTAGCTTCAAATGCTCCGGTGCATAATTTCGTGGTAGAACGCATCCTTCATAGTCTTGTAAGACATAGGATGTTTCAGTTTTGTTTATGATCTTGTATGGCCCTTTGTAGGTTGGGTTGAATTTGTCGTTTGATTCAGGCTCCCTTGCCATTACAAAGTTGCCGATCTTATACTCCACGATTTTGTGCGTCTTGTTGAATCGTAGCTCTTGTTGCTTGGTTACCGTTTTTACTCTTTCATGGATTGCTGGAAATACAATATCTCTCATTTCATCGATGCGTTTCTTAAGCATTTCCTCGGTCATTGGTTTGGCTTCTGCCTCGTCTCGATAATCCTTGAAGTCGTTTACTTTTCTTGCAAACACGAGGGTAAAAGGAGGCGTCTTGTGTGGTGATGTGACATTTGCATTTAATGCAAGTTGCACTGCCGGTACGTAATGATCCCACTCGAATGTGGCGCCATTGAGCATCTTCTTGATAGATAATGTAGCCTTTTGAACCCATCTTTCAGCAGTACCATTGGCTTTGCGGTGATAAGGTACGACCAAGCGATGTTCAAATCCCGATGCTCTTGCAAAAGGCTTCATCAGGTTATTGACAAATTCTTTGCCATTATCCGATTGAATTATGCGTGGTAAGCCGAAGTCACAGAATACTTGTACTAACGTCTTGACAATGGTTTCGGCCTCTTTATTGGGTATGGGACGTAGTATCCAAAATCTTGTGCACATGTCCACCAATACTAAGAGGTTTTTATTGCCCGATGACGACGTTTCATAGTTTGCCAGATCTAAGGCCCAATGATCACCTGGCATTTCCGCTGAAATAGTTCTCAATGGGTTGTAGCCTCTTTGAGCAATATTGAACTTTTGGCATTGTGGGCATGCCATTACTAAGTCAATTGGATCTTGCTTAAGATTTGGCCAATGTATCCCATTGTTATGTATAGCGTGAACTATAGCGTTAGCTCCGAGGTGCCCTAGCAGGTGTGCTTTATCCAATATACTAGGCCTTTCATCTTCTGGTGGTACAAGTGTGTTTTCTTCGATGAGTTGTGCAGCTCGGTTTATGTGAGATGGGTCTTCATTGCCATGATTTTGGATAGGGTTATTGATTCCCATTGCCCCCCCCCGAGTCTATTCCACTATGGAAAAGACGTGAGAGTGCATCACTCATACCGTTTAATTTGCCAGCTATATGCACGATATCAAATTGGTAGTTGTAAAGGGTAGTGAACCAGTTGCTCAACATGGAGTTCAATTCCTTTTGTTGATGCAAATATGTTAAGGCCTTGTGATCGGTATATAGCGTGAAGGGATTGCCCCATAAGTATTTGTGGAACTTCTTAAAAGCAAAGATGATAGCCAAAAGCTCCTTCTTGGTAATCATGTAGTTGCGTTCGGATTTGGTAAGGGCCCTTGCCATAAAAGAAATTATGTGCTTCTTGTTGTCATACTTCTGGTAAAGGACGGCAGCGATACCCACATTGGAGGCATCAGTGCCCACATGGAAACGCTTGGACATGTTGGGATAGCTCAGTATTGGGGCATGGAGTAGTGCATACTTGAGCGTGTTGAAAGCCTTTTGATGTTTGTCGGTCCAGAGTTGAGGTACATTGGTGACATTGCGTAACTCATCCAAGGGTTTGGTTATGTCCGCCATGTATGGTATGTGGTTGCGAAAGTAATTCATGAATCCAATGTAAGCTTGGATGTCTCTAGCGGTACGCGGCACAGGCCGTGATTGTGCATTGACGACTTTACGCCGATCGGGCTTATGGCCGTGTTGATCGATGCAAAAACCAAGCAAGTACACACATCGTTGCATAAAGAAACACTTTTTAGTTGTAGGATAAGATTGGCCTCCGTGAGTCGATCAATGACGATGGTAACATGTTGTACATGTTCTCGCTTAGACTTGGAAAAGATAATAATGTCATCGACGAAGGTGGTGACATAGGGTAGATCTCTGAAAAGCTTATCCATGACTCGTTGAAATTTGGATGAAATAGGTTTCAATCCAAAAGGGCAACCTTTAAACATGTAACGCAACCCGTCTGGTGCAGTGAATGCAGTCTTATGACGATCTTGCGGCTTGCTGGGAAAGCGATGAAACGCACTGGCTAAGTCAAGTGTAGTATACACTTTAGAACCAGCAAGTTGGTCAAAGATTTCCGTAATTAAGGGAATGCGATGCTTATCATCAGTTAGGTGCTCATTAATGAGTCGGGGATCCAAGCAAGGTCTATGCCCTGTCATTTTACCCTGTGAATCTTTTGGATCACTGAAAAGATAGGGGACCACATTTTATATACTATATATACATATATATACGTAGTTAAATAAGGAAACTGGGATTTAAATAAAACCCCGACGTGGTAACAGCATGCTCCAAAACGATCTAAAACAATCTCAAAAAGCAGTCACATAAGAAATTGATGCCCAATTTTGTACCCAAAGAAGGCTAAACCAAAGCTATACACTTGATGGACCATGGCTTATTCCTCGACACTTCTATCAGCTTCTCATACCACTGCTAATGCTGCAGATGAAGAGAGCAAGTCCAAAAACCTTGTAGATGATGAGAAAAATGCACCCAACTTTGACCTTCATTTTCTCGACAGCCAATCGCCTAAATGACTTGCCAACCATTGTGGGTGGTAATATAGAGTCGTAGTATTTTGGTGAAAGTGCCCAAATCGCAATACAGGCTTTGACCACTTCCATTTTTGGCACTTGTGGGGGTCACCATATCGAAATGTGGAGAAGTTGCTGACACACCCGGGAGAGTGATGTTGTCCAATAGTTCCAGATAGGATAAGAAGATGCTTTCAGAGAGAGAAAGACCAAAGAGAATAAAGGGAAAGAAGAGATGTCGTTTATTCAATCATCAAATCAGCCCTTAAATACTTTAACAAATAACTCAGCTAGTGACATCACCGACGTGAGGACCTCTAAACTACTTTTCCACATAAGGAAAAGCTTTCCCGGACCATTCGACACAGGTCGTGTCAATCTCCCCCGCAAAGCTAGACTTATGGGGAAAAGTCCAGGCAGCCAAAGAAACAACGAACCAAGAACAAGGACAACAAGAACGACGACACCGCAATAAGAGAGCCAACACCAAAGCAACAAAGCCAACATGATTCGCAATTAGGTGCCTTGAACACCAAGCAACGACAACAAGCAAACAGGATGAGAGGGGCAAACCAGAGGACAGCAACACGCCAAGAAAAGAGCAACAAAAATAGCATGCAACTAATGTCACACAAGTGGGGACACAGGACCAGAACAAAGGCACACATCCATGTAGGTAAAAACAGCGCTCCAAGCGCCGACCAAAAAAAGTATCCAGGGCACCCTTGCCCAAAACCAAAAACAAAAAACAACCTAATGATGTCCTTGTTGGCTCCTCGAGATCCACCACAAAACGACCAGAAACCTTGCTCACAGGACTTGCTGACAACGCCAAAGGAAAGCCACACAAAAGCACCACAAAGAGAGACTTGCAGACCGAAAACCAAAAGGACCAAAGGACACAACATGACATGAGAAAACTTGCAAACAAAAGGTGTGGATCTTGTGCAAAAGAAAAAGAAATCTCCGGGATTGTATAAATTTATAAAAGAAAAGGGGATAGAGACCACTGGGGCATGTGGCCTTGCTATCCCCCTGGTAGCCTCGCCAATTGACACACCCGGGAGAGAGATGTTGTCCAATAGTTCCGGATAGAATAAGAAGATGCTTTGTGAGAGAGAAAGACCAAAGAGAATAAAGGGAAAGAAGAGATGTCGTTTATTCAATCATCAAATCAGCCTTTAAATACTTTAACAAATAACTCAGCCAGTGACATCACCGACGTGAGGGCCTCTAAACTACTTTTCCACATAAGGAAAAGCTTTCCCGGGCCATTCGACACAGGTCGTGTCATTGCCAGTTCGAAAGTTTGGTTTAATGGTCAAACATCCTTCTCTGTTGACCAAGAGGTATGGGTTCGATTCGCGGGGAGTACCTTTTTACCATCAGTGATGTCTATATTTTGTTCTTTTTTGTCGTCTTTCTTTTTCGATCCACACAGGATAATAGCCGACTTCCACGAAGGAGATAATGACCACGAAGGATAGATAGACCACACAGGAATAAGACCACGAAGGAATAAGACCACACAGGAATAGAACCACGAAGGAGAATACTGCCACACAGGCAAATAGACAATAAAGTAAAGAGAACGTAAGATGATGTTTTATTCTATGAGATGGTCCACCATTTATAATTGTTGGATGGGGCTAAGTATGTCAAGATGGCTAAGTAATATTGATGTGGCGAAGTAATGATGGAGGGCGCAGCATAAAGAAGATAAGATAATAGAGATGTCCAAAAAGATAATACCGATCAAGAAGATCCGGTATGTTGCTGCGACATTTTTTTTGGAAGTTGTGACTTCGTAAGTGAAAACTTTTCAGGTGGCTGTGGGGCCCGATGGGTGTTACTCTCTCTTTCTCTTCTTTCTTTCATTCATTGATCATTATGCCTGTTGTTAAGAATCATACTAAGCAAAAGCCTGCTCAAACCATTTGGGATTTCACAAGCAAATTTCCTGATAGTTTGACTGTTGAAAGGTTTGTTTACTTGTTATTTGGGCAATAAAAGTAGTCAAGTATTAATATCTATGCAGATGGTTATACGATGAAGGGATTTACTGCAAGTGGATGAAGTGCAAGGCTGGAATTGACATGAGGTTGATTGAAGTCAAGAAAGATGGACAACCAAACCTCATATGGAAGTGCACCCATCGTCCATCTGAAAGCTGCAACCGTCAAAAGAAGTCTATTCGTGAAGGAAGCTTTTTCTCGGGGCTCAAGATCGGCATGCATCAAGTTCTTGGAATTGTGTGGCTCTACCTTTACAAGTTGGAATTCCAGGCTATTCAAGACCTGACGGGTGTATCTGCACCAACCATTCGTGCCGTTGTGCGCTTGTTATATCGTTTGATGAATGTCGACATCAAAGACGAAGATGTATCTGTTGGTAGGTGACAATCGCTTGTAAGAACGTGTGTAATCATGTATTGAACATAATGTTTGTTATAGGTGGCATTGACGAAGATGGCAACCGCATCATTGTCGAAGTGGATGAATCCAAGTTTGGGAAGCGTAAAAGCCATAAAGGCCATCGTGTTGAAGGTGTGTGGGTTGTTGGCGGTGTCGAGCGTACTCCTGAATGCAAGATTTTTGTGACAACCGTCGAAGATCGCAAGAAGGATACTTTGCACCTCATCTGGAGTAATTACATCAAAGAAGGGAGCGAAATTCAAACGGACTGTTTGTGGTGGCAAAAGAGCTTATGAAAGTGTGTGTGTGTGTGAAACAAGAAAAGAAGTAAAGAGTCAAGAAAATACAGTGAGAATCTGACAGGGGTCAAATGTTTATTCGTGTCTCTTATTTATACTATCAAAGACGGAGTCACATTGCTGAGATAAGATCCTGTGTATCCATCCAGATACCACATCACCCCCTCCAGGCTCTTTGCCGTTTGGAAATGTTGTTGGTGAAGAGCTATTTCTTTGATCGCTTGTTGGATCTGGTGGATAGTGAGCGATTGTGCGATTTGCGTTTGCGATTTGGATGTCCGCTGTTATGCGGTGATTGCGCATTAATGCGAGCCCAATACGCCGCAATGGGTGCATCGCTGGTGAAGTGTTCGTAAGGTTCCCATGTGTCGTGTTCCGCAGTGTAACCTTTCCAACGCACTTTGTATGTCATGTTGCCATTATCATCTTTGTTGTGTGCAATAATGCTTTCCACTTCAAACAATTGATCGGCAGGAATGATTTCATCTTGTGAGATGAGCTTGAGTTGCGAAGGAGGCACATCAATAGGTAGCAGATCTCCCATTTCATCCTTGAGGACATAGGATCCACCTTTGGTCTTGCGTACGACTGTAAATGGGCCTTCGTATTCAGGATAAAGCTTACCTTTCTTTTGCAGCACGCGTTTCATGACGTGACTATCCGTGGGAAAGTCAATGAGTTTGTGGTGTTTATCAAACTTGCTCTTTTGCTTTTCCGTTATTGCTTCAGTCCTGGCTCTTATCGCTGGGAACACAATCTCGTTCATTTGGTCAATGCGTTTCAACAGTTCTTGTCGAGTCATTGGTGAGAGTTGTTCCTCATTGCGATAGTCGTCGAAGTTGTTCAGCCTACGAGCAAACATCAACGAGAAAGGAGGTGATTCGGTACGCTTGCTAACCTTGGCGTTCATTGCCAATTGGACAGCAGGTACGTATAGGTCCCAATTTTCATGCACTCCTTGTACTCTCTTTTTGATAGCTCCAACTGAGGTTTGTACCCATCTTTCCGCTACTCCATTTGCACGTGGATGATACGGTGATACGAGACGATGATCGAAGCCAGCTGCGCGTTCAAAACGAGACATTAGATCATTGACAAATTCGGTGCCATTGTCTGATTGTAATACTCGAGGCAGTCCAAAGTCGCAAAATACTTGTACCAAGGTTTGAACAATGGTATGTGATTGCTTATGCGGTATGGGACGCAAGATGCAAAAACGTGTACAAATATCAATGAGTACTAGCAGGTAGTTGTTACCTCGTTTGGATGTGGTGAGAGGACCAGCAAGATCTATAGCCCAATGATCACCTGGAACGTACGCACGGATCGGTCTCAGAGGATTATATCCATTTTGCGCGATGTTGTACTTTTGGCACTCCTTACAGGATTTTACCAACTCAACGGCTTGTTCCTTGATTTTTGGCCAGTACAGTCCATTGTTGCGAATAGCCTTGACAATAGCCTCAGCTCCAAAATGACCGAATAAATGTGCCTTTTCCAGGATATCACGTTTTTCATCTTCTGGTGGCTCCATCGAGTCTTCTATTTCAGCTGCTCTTGTGATCAACTCAGATTCAGCATCATTTTGACTTACAACCCATTTGGCTGTGTCAATCTTACCCCCCTCCAGCGTCTCGTACGGGTACGAGAAGAGACGCGACAAGTGATCAGGCAAAATGTTTTTGATACCAGGCAAATAAACCACGTTGAAATTGTAATCCAACAATGTATCGAGCCATTTGATCATCATGGGATTGGCATCTTTCTGGGTATGGAGGTAGACGAGGGTTTGTGATCGGTGTAAAGGGTAAAAGGGTTGCCCCAAAGAAACTTGTGGAATTTGTTGAAAGCAAAGACAATAGCTAGCAATTCCCGTTTCGTAACCGAGTAGTTGCGTTCCGATTTAGTTAAAGCACGAGCCATGAATCCCACAATGGTATTGCGGCCATTTTCCTTTTGATAAAGGACGGCGCCAATGCCATCATTAGAGGCATCAGTAGCAAGATGAAAAGGGAGTTTCAAGTTAACATGCTTCAACATCGGTGCATGTGATACAGAATATTTGATGTTAGCAAAGGCATTCTCGTGGGCTTTTGTCCATAAGCCTTTCAAGTCCCCAGCATGGCGTAAGGCATCAAGGCGAGCTGTCAAACGTGATACATTGGGAATGTGGTCCCTAAAGTAGTTGACGATGCCCAAAAACCTTTGGATATCCTTGCCAGTACGAGGAGAGGGCCATTCAAGGACATTAGTTACCTTGCGAGAATCCAGGGCACGACCTGCAGCTGACACGCGGAATCCCAAAAGGTATACTGCTTTTTGAGCAAAGTGACACTTATCCGGGTTAAGCAAAAGGTTGGCTTTGGTGAGCCTTTCTAGTGCTATGCGAACATGTTCGGTATGCTCTTGCATGGATTTGGAGGAAACCACGATGTCATCGACAAATGTAGTTACAAAAGGCAATCCTGTAAATAAGATCTGCATTACACGTTGGAATTTGGCTGAGATGGGTTTGAGACCAAAAGGACAGCCGACAAACATATACTGCTTGCCTGATGCTGATGTAAAAGTAGTCTTATGCCTATCCTTTTCGTGAATTTGGAATCTATGGAAAGCGCTTTTCAAGTCAAGTGTGCTGAAGACCGAAGAACCCGCTAACTGATCAAAGACAGTGCGTACGAGAGGAATAGGATGCCGGTCATCAGGCAAGTACTTGTTTATGTGTCGAGGATCGAGACATAAACGTACGCCTACTTTGTTACCTTTAGCATCTTTTTTGGGTGCAAATGTCAAAGGGCTGTTCCATCCGTTGTCGATGTTGGCAGGGACTTCGGTAATGATGCCTTCCTTTAACCAATCGGCTACGGTATCCTCGACAAGTTGTTGACGAGTGAGAGGGAATTCGTATTGCCTACGATAACATTTTGCATCCTTTGGTGTATCTAAAGTGATGATCGATTCAGGGATGTTGCAAAAGGTGCCAGGACGTATGTTGGCATTTTCATTTAAGATAGGTTGGATGGCATCCATAAAAGCTTGCATTTCCTCTGGTGATCCAGCAGGTGATGCATTCGGCTCAAATGGTGAGTCGTCCAATTCCTTATCCTCTGATTGCATTGGCTTCGTCCAAGACGTTGCCAAGCCAACATAGCCAATACCCATTTTATGCATTAGATCCCAGCCGATACTCATAGGGTGTTTACGAGCCAAGTTCATGACTTCAAAGCGATGTTGATACGACCTTCCATTATAAACAACATTCAAGGGGTCCGTGATACCAATACGTGGTGTACTCATCTCATTAGAAGCTAACCCAATAGTTCCTTGTACAGGATAAATCTTTAATGACAATCTTTTAACAAAATCTACATCGAGTGCGGAAAAGTTTGCACCTCCATCCACTAGTGCCATGATGTTGTGGCTTTCTATGGTAATGGGAGTTAGTACTTCATCCTTGTTTTCTCGATTAGACAATGTTTTGGACTTACAAGGCAAGGTGTCCATCTTGTCATCGGCGTCTTTGTTGACCTTGGCGGAGCGATTGAAAAACTGCTTTTTGCGTGGGTCAGGCTTACCAGTGGCAGCATAGTACTCAGAGCACTTATGGCCATGGCGCCATGTACGATTGCAGTAGTCGCAACGGTTGGTCGGCTTGTCACTTTCCTTGGTGGTGTGTTGTCGTTGATGATGTTGTTGTTGCTGCTGCTGCTTGTGGCCTTGATGCTTCTTGTTGGGGTTGCTGCTACCAGCTGCAGATGACTCTTCATGCTTCCGCTTACCGCTTCCACAATCCGAGAGCTTCAAAGTGCGCACCATTTCGAGAACCTTATCCAAATCGGATGGCATGCCCGTGCTGAATTGGTTGACAATAAAGGTGGTGGCCTTTTCATGATGCTTTGCTGATAGAGAAGAAAGAAAAATGATGACAAGTAACAAACCTGCAGGTGTTTGAGCTGACAAGCCAGCGTTGAGGCAACGTTGCTGAAACTCATCACAATACTCATCCAGGGCTTGGTTGCCTTGTTGCATAGCCAACACGTCAAGCATGGTGAGGATTCGTTGGAGATTGGTATCATACTTCTCTATAATGAGATTAGCAACCTTATCCCAAGTAACGTTTCCTTTCACTTCCTTTAGTCGATTCTTCAACCAAAGTTGCTGGGTGTCGGACAAGCAACAAAAAATGAGTCGCTCCCAATCCTTTTCAGCGGTCAAGCCATAACTACCCAATTCAGCCTCAAAGGCTCGGATGAAAGCTGCAGCTGTTGGATGAACAATGAGACGTGGATTCCATTTTACAGTACCTGGTAATTGAAGAGCAGGGAGATTCTTGGGTACAATCAATGCACGTTGGGATTCCCTTTGAGCCGAGGCGCGTTGTCTCTTGAGTGCTTCAATCTCTTCATGAGAATAGAACTCCACGTGCTGCGGGTGTTGCGCTTTCCACATGAGTCGCGACATTTCTAAATTGTCTTGCAACTGCTTGAGCTCATTCATCAAGGTATGTCTGGAGTGATGCTTAGAAATGATGGCCTGTGAATAAACCTTTTCCTTTTCTGCAACTTCGTCTTTCATATCTTTGTAAGCTATCTTGGCTAAATGCAAAGGGTCAGCATGGATGGAAGCAGCCGCCCCATTAGGCATTGCCGTGACAGGCTGAGAAGCAGGCTGCGTAGGTACCTCAGCCGATTGATCCTGCAACACAGGGACCGTAGGCTCTTGGCCATTAGGTATGGTTGGGATTGGTTGGCTATTAGGCAACGCGATGCCCGAATCGTTGGTAGCAGGTGTAGCCATAGCCATGGTCTGTTGACCGTTTGGCAAGGCAAAGTGCTGAAACTCATTCATCATTTCCGCGATCGAATGATCATTCGGTTCCGAAGCGAGTGATTGCAAATCAGGGTTGTTATTAAGAGGACTAACAGGTGGATCAAGCTCCATTGCTCCTGCGTCGTGATAGGGGAGTTGAGAGAAAAGGGATTGAGTGGACATAGTGGTAAGAGTGGAGAAGGTGTTGTTGGTAGCCTTGGTGGTGGTAGAGTTAGGGGTAGACATTGTGATAATTCACTGTAAAAAATGTGGTGGCAAAAGAGCTTATGAAAGTGTGTGTGTGTGTGAAACAAGAAAAGAAGTAAAGAGTCAAGAAAATACAGTGAGAATCTGACAGGGGTCAAATGTTTATTCGTGTCTCTTATTTATACTATCAAAGACGGAGTCACATTGCTGAGATAAGATCCTGTGTATCCATCCAGATACCACACTGTTGGAAGGGGTACAATGGTCTCGCACGTATTCCTGGCAAACACTACCGCCATGAGACTGTCAACCACGCCAAGGAGTTCAAGACTGCAGCTGGTGTTCATACAGTACATTGCAGTGAAAGTTGAACACGAAGAAAGAATTTTGGTAGATGAAGCTGTTTTTTCGGTGACGAGAGATTTATTGTTGGATGTTGGGGAACAAGCTCGTTTATTTTGGAGGGTGACAAGATAATGTTGGTGGATGATCGTGTTAAAGATGGTGGGTGGAGAAGTAATCTTGGTTGGCGGGCGTCGCAATGTTGGCGGCGAAGTGAAATAAAGATGGCGGGTGGAGGAATAATTTTGATTGGCAGGCGCGTAATGTTGGTGGGCTGGGAAATAAAAATGGTGGAGGGTGAAGTAATTTTGGTTCACGGATGTCGTATTGTTGGTGGGTTGGAAAGAGAATGATGGAGGTGGTAGGAATCAAGATGGTGAGGGAAGGAGATAATATGAAGGGTGAGGATAACGATGGATGCTAAGAATAATATGGGTGAGCAACTAGCAAACATGTTGTATGCATGATCCAGAAGGTCCGCTTGGCCACACATAAAAAGTTGGATCCCTCACATGCACTGCTTGTGCTCCTCTTCCTTTTACCATCTTGTTCCGCTTCCCCATCTTGCAAGCGGCATTCAATTTAGTCATTGCTGTGGATTGGGTGACATACTACATGTGTTGGAAAGGCATTATTGCAGAGTACACAGGCGATAAGGAAGTTTGCGAAAGACGTGCTGTTGTGTTTGTGTTGCTAACGCGAACCTTTTTCCTCTTCTTACGGATAACAACAATCAACAACATTGTCATTACACACGTTGAACACGGCATAGCATGACAAGGTACTATGGCAGGGTTATGTGGAAGTCGACTAGCACAGCCAGCGAGTGAGTTGGATGTGACAGTATACCAGGGCGAGCTGGTTTCGTTTTGCATATCAGTTTGTTGCACGATTAACAACAAGACACACACGATCTACCATCACCATGGGAAATGAGATATAGTACTACACATGTAGAATCACGCATTTGGATGTTGGATGCCAATAAATGGTTCAGAGGTGATCCACGATGGATCGGATTGCTACCAAGTTATGATACATGATGGCATATGGTAATACATGGATCATGGGTGACGGTTGGAAGATGGCTAGACTACACGATAGCAACGAGCTTTTTAGATGCTTCATCATTATCCTCTCACCCTTCATATTATCTCCTTCTCGCACCATCTTTATTTCTCCCACCACCATCATTCCTCTTGCCAACCCACCAACAATACGACACCCGTCAACCAAAATTACTTCACCCTCCACCATTTTTATTTCCCAACCGACCAACATTACGCGCCCGCCAATCAAAATTATTCCTCCACCCGCCATCTTTATTTCACTCGCCGCCATTGTTCTTCTGCCGGCCCACCAACATTGCGACACCCGCCAACCAAGATTACTTCTCCACCCACCATCTTCAATACAACCACCCACCAACATCATCTCGTCGCCCTCCAAAATAAAAGTGCTTGTTCACCAAAATTGCTTTGCCAACATCCAACAATAAATCTCTCGTCACCAAAATTCTCTTTTCATGTTCAACTTTCACTGCAATCTACTGTACAAATACCATCGAAGGTATGTAAAGTAATACATATAATCATGATCTTGTTGTTATATGCTAATAATTGGTCATATGATTTAGGAACCTGGAATGGCATCAAGTCCATTATTAAGGCCCGCCACAGAACAGCTCCGATCATGAAGTATCGTCTTACCGAGTTCATTTTCCGTCGCAAGCATGCTGGGGACCTCTGGGGTGGCATTATCAAGGCATTAAAAGAAGTATCCTTTGACAAGGTTACTTCTTCGGATGATATAGATGAATAATTCATCTATACAGAGGTCAAACGGGAACGTAGCGATTTGGATCACGATGATTCGGAGTTCAATGGTAAGTGAACGGACTTGAAAATCTATAATGATTAGCTAAGTCAATGACTAGATAATACGCAATGGGAAACCGATACCGAGGATGATGATGACACATCACGTGAATACACAGCTGACTCTCATAGAAAACGCCCTAGAGGCCAATAAACGAAGTCCATAGACATTTATTTGTTCTACTAAGTACATTGCAGTCACGTTAGAAGCAGTAATGGAATAGATTAAAAGTTGCTGCATATATGATTCATTAAAAAAGAAACGATCATAGCTCGCAATCTAGCGGTCGTCGGACTTTCGGGATTGCACCAGCGTATTTGGAGCACCTCGAAGAACATAGTAAGTAATCATAGCCTCGTTACGGCAACATTTTCCCCCACTTGGCAGAAGCAGGCTCTCGACTTAGTAAAAATCCACCCAATTTGGGTAGTTTTTCCCTCATAACACAGGCGCATTTGATTCGATTAAGTTCGGACCTTTTTTTCCCAGATTTGGTATTGCGGCCTCCATATGTGAACAAATTTTGCGGAACATCGGAGTATGGTTTTTACATCGTATGCCAATATGGCCAATTTAGTAAAAAGGAGACGTTTTTATTTCGGCGATTTCTTGCCAATCAGACGTCGGAGATACACATGGTTAGCAGCAACGAATTGTAGAGGTCCGAATGTATATATCGGTAAGGTTTTATGAAGAACTACCGACATTCACAAGTTTTTGCAGTGTGTAGAAATGTGGTCCCCTATCTCTTCATTCAACCAATCTTTTTTCGGGGCCAGTGTTAAAGGGCTATTCCAACGGACGTCCTTATATCACCCCTAGTTAGTGGCGACTTTGAAAAAATCTCCGATTTTGAAGCCCCCACTTGAAAATCGACTAAGTCAGCACGCTCAAAACCCCCAACAGCGTATTCTTCTTCACACCATTCTTTATTCTTCTTACACAACTACTCTATACATGTCCTCCAACCCTTCTTTGGCTTCTTGTCACCACTCCAACTTCGCCATCGTCGCCATTGTCAGCTTCTGAAACTACCAATCTTTCAGCATCGCGAGCTCTTCGCTGGCTTCTTGTCAACACCAGACCTTCTGAAAGGCTACTCTCACCACTCGACACAACCGACACGTCAGAAGCCTCTTCACCACTATTGCCATGCACTTCAGATGACACATGCTGGTCACCTTCATTGCCTCCATCTACTTCACACGCAACTTGTTCGTCGCCATCTTCAGAATCTTCACCGTCAGAGTCGACGCGTAAATCCAAGCCAAAGGTACACAAAAGCGCCATAGCATGGAACTTGGATGCTAAATGACCTATCACTTTACGGTGTTGAACAAGCGCATCTAGGGCATATTGTCGTGCATTAAGACGTTCATCTGGATCAAGCTCATAAAAGGTTTCCTTGCAAAACACTCCAACCGATTCTTCAAACAAGGCATGATCGACAACTTGAACTCCAACGTCATACATTATCGCCTCGACCAATGGCCAGCTGTGTCGTTCAGGATTGAATCGCCAAGATTGTTGCTCAACATCAGTGAGTAATGTAAGTATGTCGTCGCAAGCGTCTTGAGCAATCTTTTCAGCTAACGCCACGTCATCTACAGCATCCGATGCCATCTCCTCACCACGGCGAATCCATGCTTTTTTATTCTTGCGTTGCTTAATGGCTTCTTTTTTCTCCCGGTAATATTGCCGCTGGTAAGCACGACGCTCGGCTGTTGTTCGTAATGGAGCAGGGCCTTTGCGGTCAGGAGGTAAGTTGGGATTATGGTGCTTGCGGAAATGCTTGTTCAATGCATTCTTCGATTGGTAGGTCTTGGGGCATTGGGGGCAACTATGAATCAAATGGAAAATCAGTATTGAGTATCATGGGTGATGGGGAAAAGCTTACACGTGAGAAGAGGTCATGAAGGTAACTTGTTGATTGGATGATGGTTTGGTTTCTTCAAATGCTGCTTTTTATATTTTCAGGTCTGGAACGCTGCTGTATTCCTCGCTGCTGCCGCTACGTCCACATACAGCATCTTGCCTGGTATTGTCCTTTGTCGATTATAGAACTACGTTAGGATAGGAAATCATTATACACTTTTAATTAAAATGCCACATGCAAACACGTTACTTTTATTGATGATGCACAGATTTGCTTTGACAAAGATACAATGTATACATGCCATCTCGCATTTAGAGTCTATGGTAAAACTACAGCCTTGAAGTAATGCAGCTCTTGGTCACATAGTATGGGTCGATGATAATGTTGGAGGATACCTTGTTGAATAACGCAAACCTAGAGTACTCTTGGTTGAAAAAGTTAAACAAGGAGTACTCCTGGTTGACAAAGTTAAAGTAGGAGTACTCTTGGTTGACAAAGTTAAAGTAGGAGTACTCCTGGTTGACAAAATTAAAGTACGAGTACTCCTGGTTGACAAAACTAAACCAAGAGTCATCCAATTCTCATCACGGCAATGGGACGCAAGCATGGCAAAACCCCACAGTACAGCATAATACGATCATGTCCTTTGCTATGATTGGTACTTTTACATGTATCTATTCGCCTTATGCATGCTCCAATGATGTATGAAATTATTCATCATAATGCTTGATGTATGAAAGACGTACATGTCCATGAACGCACCCACAATTCATTTCTGCAGCGTGCAATGAAGCATGCTGTGTGTAGCGTCGGTAGGTGCACCCCATGCGTATAATTCATTTCTGTAATGTGGGTGATGCATCATGCATAATGCATGCACGATGAACGCTTGCCACCACGTATTCAAAATTAATTGCTGCAATGCGAAATAGTGCACGCTACATTACATACACGCCATGGTGCGGTACAACTAAGGTACGATATGGATTCATGAACGATGCACTAAAATACACTCAAGGCGCATGTCGTAGATAACGCATTAAGGTAAATTGATACGCTTGATGATGTATGACTTAATAGGACTATTAGGCGGCAAAGGACAACCTTTATATATAAGCAGGTAAAATGCTTCGTCGGATTGTCATACCAATTTTGACATTACCCTTACTCATTGCTACTATCATCATGTCTCAAAACCAAGCCGACTCCATCATCTACGACAACGAGGTTGAAAACGCTATCGACCATGACCCCATCGATATCGAAGCCGCTCACCAACGTTATCGAGATGATCGTATCCTTCCACCATCTACAATCCAGGATTCAGATACTGTGCAAGGCGAACGCTTCTTCAAGCATCAAAAACGTGGTGAAGTTTGTGTCGTACAAGTCAAACGAAGCTGTTGGAAGCAATGGGTCAATGACCTCGACAAGGTTATCCATGTCAAGTGGATTCACAAGAACGATTATCTTCTTGAGGCTCAACGCCAGAGATCGATGAAAGGTAAGGATAACTACACTTTATGATATAATTTTATACAGCGTGTAACTAACAATAGCTATGAATGTAGAAGCTCGGTCAGCTTGTTCTGGTAGCCGCTCTCAAAGCAAGAAACGTAAAGTTGACAAGTTGTTGGTGTCACAAGTGTATGAATGCAATCGTAGTGGCAAGCCTCAAGAACGCAAGGATCAGCCAAAGAAGAATGAGCGAACTTCACTCATTGAGTCCAAAAAAGTGGAGTGTACCGCCAAGTTATGGGTGACATGCAAAGAAAGTAATCCCGAATGGGTATCCATCATGTACAACACACATCATCAGAATCATCAACCAGGTTCCATGGAGGATATTCGATACATGCCTAAATCCCAAGAGCTCGTCGATGCTATTGTGCAAAGGCTTTCAGAAGGGCAGACCGTGCGTGCTGTAAGGGATTACTTTCGACGTTTTCCTATAACACAAGACTTGAAAAGCCGAGATGCGTACATTATCACGGACGATGTGTATAACGAATTCATCAAGTTGCAGAGCCAGGCTGCACATCGACACAACGATGAACATGAGTCGGCTAAGGTGTGGGTCAAAGAGCTCACAGGTACGTGGTATTTATTTGTTGGATTTATATTTGGATGCTAACGTATATACATAGACAACGGGCATTTTGCCTACTACAGTGAATTGGACGACAACAAGTTTGCTGTATGCATCTCGACAAAGTGGCAACGGGGGTTCTTTGCTGAAGCTCGTGGTGTATGCCTTGATGCTACTCATGATGTCACTGGCAAGAATGTGATCATGTATACCATCGTCACCCAACATCAAGACACATGGCGTGGTTTTCCCATAGCTTACCTCATCACGGACTCTCAAGCCTCTCCTGTACTTACCTCATGGCTCCAAAACCTGCGTCAAAAAGGGCTGAAGCCGAAATCCGTAACCATCGACTGCAGCTTGGCAGAGGATAAAGCCTTGCGGGATGCATGGGCAATCGCGTCAATATCAAGTTTTGCGCCTGGCATGTAGCTCGTGCATGGAGTAACAACATATCGTTGATCCATTCATCCACCAAAGCTGAGACCAAAAAGATGCGTGAACGTGCGAGAGACGAGATGAAGAAGATGATGTGGGTTAAAGACCGTGCCGATTTTGCCAAGTTGCTGGGGAAGTTCTTGAAGGATTGGAAGCATCAAAAGGAGTTCATGGATTACTTCAAGAGAAACTGGGGACCTGGAACTAAAAGATCACCAATGCGTTGGGCCAAGAGCTACCACCCTCGTGAATTCGACAGCATGGACACCAACAACTACGTCGAAAGTTGGCACAACCAGCTTAAATCAGTGTACTTGAATCGCCATCCATCCGACGCCTTGATACCTTGATCCATAAGCTGGTGGAGGAGATCAATGTCGACTTACAACATGAGCTGCAGACCCAATTAATGGAGATAGGCCGTATGAACAAGAAAGCTCGATACATCTGTGAGCAGCGCAACAAGGCGAAGGTTGCTGTAGAAAACATGGCCGGTAAGATGATATGCATCGATCGTGGCAAGGGTGACCTATCGCTAACTCACGAAACTGGTAGATGGTGCAAGCCTGATTCAAAGCGCACAAGGGAATACATTCGTGGTGTCGTCGTTTCAGATGGAGGGTGATTCGTACAATGTAAGCTAAATACGAGGCGTGTTAATTCTCTTGCTCAATGGACGTTGCCATTACCTAGATTGTTTGCGAGAAAGACAGGACAACGTGTACGTGTATATATTACGAGGAGATAAAGCCGTTGCCATGCAAGCACATTTTCCTGGTGAGCTTTTACCACCGCATCAATATCAAGCCACCGAAAAACTTTTCTCGTTCCCACGCTGCTGCCAGCTCATCATCCACACACTCAAGAGTTGCTAATGATGGTCCCAGTCAACATGATGTACCTGAAGCTCCAAGCATAGGCCCTACACAAGAGGATGCCAGAAAGTTGTCTCTTAACTTGACCCGTGTGCTGGAGAGAAAGAAGGCACCAGCAGAAGAATACAAGTACGTGTGCCAGGAGATTGAAAGGTTGATAAAGCATTATGACGATGCTTCATACATACCTGCCAATAGTAGATTTAGACGGCAATAAACGTTCTTTTGTGTCATTCATGCAGCTGGTTTATTATGCAAGGAGGTATTCATCCAAATTTTTTCTAAGTGCCGCTGGAGGGTTCGGAGATTGTTTCAAAGTCGCCACTAACTAGGGGTGATATAAGGACGTCCCTATTCCAACGGTTATCTGCATCTGCTGGTACCTCGGTTATAGTGCCCTCACTCAACCATTTATTAATAGCTTCTTGCACAATAGGCCGTTGTTCATAAGCGATCATGTATTGTCTACGATAGCATACAACATTTTCAGGGGTAGGTATAGCAATGACAGCCTCGGGGAAAGGACACAAAGCGTCCTTGGGTATGTGGCTATTCCTTTTTAAGCTAGGCTCTATGAGCTGGCTGAAGGTTTCTTGCTCCTCTTTCGTTCCGGCGGGTGCTTTCATTGGGAATTGGCTCATCGTTTACTTCCTTTTCGCTTTCTTCTTCGATCGCGTCCTTCCAAGTAAATGCCAACCCCGTATAGCCAATGCCGAAATCAGCAAAGAGGTCTTTTCCAATACTAGCAACCTTGCCGTTGGCAAGGTTCATTACTTCCAACTGGCGCTTTATATGACGACCGTTATACCAGATATCCAAAGGACGCGTAAGCCCAATACGACGCACTTGTTTATCAGCCGCTGCTAATTGAATGAATCCCTTTACACATGAATACTTTATTTTATGCTTTGTACAGAACGAACTATCGATAGCCGAGAAGTTGGCACCATCATCAAGTAGTGCATGTATCCTTTGGCTCTCTATCGTTACAGGTATCAGCAATTCATCCTTTACGTCATGGCTAAATTTTGCCGACGTACAAGGTAGGGAGTCATCTATGTCATCATTGACAATGGTGGCACTTCTGTTTATCTTTTTGGCTGGTGGCAAACCCGGTAGGGGAGCCAAGCCTTTGGCCTCTCTGAATTCATTGCAACGGTGATTGCTATTCTCACGAGGACGGCCACAAAAGTCACAGGGTTTGATTGGTTTCTTGATGTTGGGCTTGTCTTTGTCTTGATGAGCTGGGCGTGATACACGCTTGGCTGGTAGCATGTCAACGTCTTCATCGTCCCTTTGTCGCTTCTCGCCATCCGAGTCATGTAATTGTAATCCAGCAAGGTATTCCACAATGGCCTCAAGCTTTTGGGTCTTCAAGTAATTTGGTCCGAACTTGACATTGCATAGGTTTTGTGCTTGCGTTTTTTATCCAAGGAGCAGAGGAGGACGACAATCATGACTTGATCGAATTGGTCAAATTCTGCTTCGATACATCTTTGGTAAAATCGGCGCACATAGGTGGCAATCTTCTCTCCTTTCTTCTGCTTCATATGAACGCATGCTTCTTTGCCTCTTAGTTGTTGTTCGGGTGTGTCGTATTTTCGTACAAGCTTGGTTCTGATCTCCTGCCAGTTGCAATGTTCATCTTCTTCCAATACACCATCCAGCCACAGGTTTTGGGCATCGTTAAGACACTTTGGGAGCAAACGATTCCAATGCTTTCTTACATCAAGACCACAGGATTTGAGTTCTTTTGTAAAAGCACGGAGAAACATTTCAGCAGATAAGTGTACCGCCTTGTTGGGATGCCATTTGTCCGAACCGACAACTTGTAATACGGGTAGATCCTTTGGCACGTAGTGATCTTCCTTGCTTGATCCTTCTGAATTGCGACATGCCAAGTTGAATTGTCGATTGCATTGTTCAATTTCATCCCATGTATAGAATTCCAAGCGTGTAGGGTATCTTTTCTTGCACGCTTCCCGATACTTGTCAACGCGTTCTTGGGCAGCCGTGAGATTATCCAATGCGCTCTCTTGTCCTTGTTCATCTTGCTCTTGTACTGCTATATTGAATTCTTGTTCCCTTTGAAGGCACTTGAGCTTTAAGTCTTCGAGCGTGTTTATAGCGAGTCTTTCCGGAGATGGTGGACTGGTTACCATAGCATCATGCGTTACCGCCTCTGCTTCATTGGCTTCCTTATCTTTGTCCATTTTCTCACCACGGATTGACAAACGCTCCATCTCTCGGACTGGGCTCTCACGTGATTCTTCTTGAGGGTGTGGGCTTTGCGAGCTCCGATCTTGTTCTGATTGTGGCATCGAGGGTATTCACCGTAAAAAAATGTGATGTGCTCAAAATAAAGGATAACAAATGAATACGGTGAGACCGTGTATATGATTGATGCCTTTATTCATGGGATTATGGGTAGTCTTCTATACTTTTTCATAATGGTTGATGTAACAAATCATATTCCCTTTTTTGGATGTAAGCCTTCTTGATTTACCACTGGACACCACACTTTGAATCAGTATTGTATCCTGGAAGAACGCTCACTATAGATGAATCAATGAATCAATGGCTTGGTAAGGTATCAGTCTAACACCATCAAGAACAAATCAAAGCCGCATCCAATTGGTCAAGAGTACAAGACGATAGCCGATGCTCAGACAAAGATTACGCTTCGCCTTGATATTAGCGAAAAAGATGACAGCAATAAGAAGTTTTCGGACCATGGTAAAGTCCCTGGATGCATGTTACGTCTTTCAGAGCCTTGGTTTGCCTCTGGACGTACAATTATTGCCGATTCTTATTTTGGATCCCCAGCTTCAGCTGCAACCTTGTATCAGAGAGGATTGTATTCTATTTTGGCAATCAAGAAGCGACGATATTGGCCAAAGAATGTCCCAAAAGACCTGCTTGACAACTTGCCTGAATCATCCGGATCCCATGTGTGCAAGGTAGGTGAGGTGGATGAAGTTCGGATGTTCACTGCTGCATTGAGAGATCGTCGACCTCAGTGCGTAGTTAGTACATGCAGCACGACGTTGCCTGCTTCTTTTGTTACGCATACTGTACAGGTCAATGGTAGAAGCGAGCGTGTAAGGTCTCAGCGTGCTGCAGTGTTTGACGAATATGGCAACTCGTTTGGCGCTATCGATGCAAACAACAACGTCCGTGACAACATGACCTCGTATCACGATGTCATGCGCACTCACAAGTGGGAGCATCGCTCATTCGCTTTCTTTTGGGCACTTGCTGAAGCCAATGCGTTTTTGGCATGGAGAGCGTTTGGCCCTGATGAGCTTCGCAACATGGATTATTGCGACTTCCGTGAGCGTCTTGCTCATGAAATATTGGTCGCATACACCAATACAGACAACGCCAATGCTCAACTTGATAAGACATCGCCATGTAATATAACGTCACGCCATAAACTTGTAAACCTACCTTCGCTTGGCAAGACTCAATATCCACAGAGAAAATGCACGGGGTGTGAAAAAAGGCCTCGGACCTTTTGCATCTGCAACAACATGAGGTATTGTGATAGTTGCTATGATGTACATAGAGATGAATGCTGATGATCGAAAATAAATGTAGAAGTACTAGATTCATATACGTTTTTTTCACGCCATTTGCTCACTAGTTTCATAAGTGATATACCCATTCAAACAGGAACTAGATCTAGTCGCGAAATTTTTCTGTCAGACCTCCCTGACGATGGCTTATCGCACAACACAACCACTCCATGATTCAGCTCCAAATTTTTATAGCACATAGTGAAGAGGTGATACTTCAATGTATTGAAATTACAGACGTTACTCATTCATAGGTAGCCAGCAATGACACTTTCAAGAGGAACTGGATCTAGTCGCGGGACTTAAAATATAACAGTTAACGAATGACAAATCGAAAATGGAGAACATGGGGACGGGTGATTGACAGCGGGAGGAATAGGAATCAAAATGATAACAGCAGCAATAAAAATGATAACAGCAATAATTAAAGAGCTGGGGAGGTGTAACGAAAATGACGTGTGATAAAGGCGTGTGATAGAGATAAAGAGGTTGATAACAGCGATTCAAAGATTACATAAAATAAAGAAGGGTCGAGGTGAAGGTCGAGATCATGTGATTCAAAAGGAAGAGGTCGAGGTCATGTGATTCGAGAGGGAGAAGTCGAGGTGATGTGATGGGAGCATGCGTCGAGCAGGTCACGTGTGAGAAGGAAGAGGGGGAAAAAGGTCTAGACCGTCACCTTTTTGCCCAAAGATGGAAGGTGAGGCCTATATATATCTGGCCGGGCATGTCAAATGCCCCTTTCAGGCCGAACCTACCACCTTTTTCTTTCGCCTTCCTTTCTTCAACCTTGACGCCAACATTCGACCACGCTTGAAATTGCCTTGCCAAACTGCTTGCTTGAACATCGGGCACCATACTGTGTCTTCTTATCAAAGGTGTCAAATTGTCACCATGAACGGCACCAGTAAGTCGTCGTGCGTTTGGTCCTTCCAAGTGGTATGTGCCATTCTTGCAACCCCGTTATATCCCCCCGATTTTCAACTTTGAAAATTGTCCGCCTTTTCAGTCTCCAGCTTATTTTCTCTTCTCCATTCCTCTTTTCAACGTGCCCATCTCGACCGTGTTCTGCCAATCGACAACCTCCGTGCAATTCACCTACTTCTTGCCATCATGTCAAGCCCACAATTAAGTTCATCCGGTACGTTTTGGCTCCATGGCAACGTAATGGGGTGCCAACTGCTTGTTCACTCTATTACAGCACACGCTTACTTGACACCACACACACCCCGTTATTCACACAATACACCCACTCGCTCTTTTTCACCACCTTCAGTCGTCTCAATGTCAATCGTGAACGCTTCCATTAGCTTCTCCATCGCCGTGTCGTCATGAATCTCCTTGTTTATTATACCAAGCTTGCCCTGAAGGTTTATTGTATCCACGCAACAGCACATTGTATATACTAGCACCTTTGTTGTCATACAGCAACATGTATACCAGCAGTCTCTGACACTCGAAGGAACGCCTGTGCATTGTATAATGCATAACCTTCGTTTCGTGTAAGGATGGTAAAGTAACTTTTGATAAGGCATGGATTAAGCGCTGAGTAAACATGGCTAATGATATCTTTTATTTCCTAGTGCGTGTTTTCTTTCGTTGATGTTGGGTGGGAAGTCTAGCGTTTGGAGGTAAGATGGATGATTGCTGCATTTTGGAATGGACATCTTCAAGTTGATTCACGATCTCGAGGAGTTTGTCATCGGGAATTGTCGATTGCTCAAAGGTGCGTTTGATTTTGCTCATCACTGCCTTCATGGAATCACGAGGAGAAACTTGAGGAGTGTCATTGGAGCTTGAAGCAGTGGAAGAGGAAGGGTGCAAAGATGATGACAAGGATGTTTCGTCACTGCGATTGGATGTTGCAAGAGGTAAAGGAGAGGAAGGTGGTGCGCTTGGATTCAAGGGAATACTGACACGCTCTGGTTTATGATTATTTTCCACGGCATAATCAGGATCCCAGCGAGCAAGAAGGAACATGTGCTTGCATGACAGAAATTCGAAAGTGTATGCTGGGCAAGAGCAGGATGTTACTTTCTTGGCATTTGAGGCTTCATCAAACTCCACGGTTACCTGTCATAGAATCATTAGCATGGATAGTCGTTAAAATAAAGAGAAATAAAGATAACCAATTGCTTTAATTACCGTATAACACACGCCATCAAGACTAAAGCTTTCGACTGTAAATGCTTTTTGGTTCGTTCGACTTGACTGGATCATACGACTAAGCGCAACATCAGAAACTTTCTCTGCCATTTCAACTGCTTCTTTTTCCTTCTGCAGCATATGGCGTTGGACATTGGTCAATTGGCCATTTCGCGCAGCACGTCGTTTCACCTCTGAGGCCATGTCAAGTTCCACTTCTTCAACAAGTGTATAAATGAGGAAGTCGATACGTCGTGGATGCTTGCGATTGAGGTACACGGTCTTCAGCTGGTTATGCCATGACTCAACATAGTTGTTTGTCAACATGTTGGTGTACACAGCTGCATGATAACATCTTGCCCATCTTGGATATTTATCCTCGGCCATCCATTGCTTCTCAAAATAGGTGACGAACGCAGACTGATGCTTCGACCATGTTGTCTTGAATGTTTCCCACTTGTTGAAAAACTCATTGCGGTCTTGCTCCCACATCAAAGCCTTCATTTCATCCCGCATCTTTTGCATTTCTACATGCTTACGTTCAACCTTATTCTGTGCACGTCCCCATTCCACTGCCTTGTCAACCAGTTGGTTCATCCACGCCCGTTGCACGTGCCACGTACAATACTGAATGCGACAATTATTACCCCAACCCGTTTGGATAGCCTTAACTTCACCAAGATCGCAGTCAATCGTGATAATCTTAGGCGATGCACCTGCTCCAGCCATACGTTCAAGCCATTTGGTAATAGGATAAGCGGACTTGTCGTTCGTAAACAGGTATGCCACAGGGATGCCTCGATCAGCCAAATGATGACGTACTATAATTGTGTATAACAATGCATTGGGATCTGGTCCCATATGATGCGTAGCATCCATGGACCAGTTGTCGCTCTTGATTAGCTCATCTTTTTGCCACGTGGAACAGAATCCAAAGGCATAGTGAGAGGAATCATCATCGGCAATACGCCATACAGTGTATTCACGTGCCTCAAGATCATCTAACCAGCGAGCAACCGAAACATCATCATCCTTATCCTTCTGGGTACGGCCATTATGCCATTTGCGATATATGTGTGCAATGGCTTCGGTACGGACTTGCGAATCAACGTGCCGTATAGGTTTTGTCAATGAATCACGGTTCAGCTTCATACGAATTTGACGCCTTGTCACGCCTTCACCATTCTGCAACATTGCAAGGATGCATTCTTCAACCCGTTTTGATGTTGGGAGATACTCAATCTCTTCAGGATCCCCTGGCGTATGCGTATCATGACCCGCACCTCTTTTGACAAATGCGATATCCGGTATCTCAAGATAAAATCGCACTTTCAAACGAGCATGGCAGTTCTTCTTCTTGGATGGTCTCACAATGTTGCGTCTATCGATCGTATCATCCTCAGGCTTCCACAAGCGAATTCGTTTATCATTTGCTCGATGGCACTCATAATAATGGCTCTCGTACACACGAAATTCAAGCTTGCGGGTCCTTGGGCCAGAAACGTCACCATCATCATCATCAGCATGGTCGGGATCATGTTTCTCAGCTACCGCATTCTTGCATAAATTCCATGTTTCATGTTCAATCACGGCACACGACATTACCTTTTATAGGAGTTTTCTCAGGGTCGACCCCTTTGCTTTTATAAACCCACACTTCACCTTCCGATGCATAAATCCTGTCAATGTCATCCTTGACGTTTTTGGCATTGACTTCGATCCAACCGTTCCTTTTAAGAGACTCTCGAAGTTGAACAGCTTTTTCAGCAACAACAACCTGGGCTTGTGTCTCGTTGCCAATGTCGTCCCCATTAGTCGAGGTGGAATCAGAACCAGAATCGCTGACAAGATCGATTACTTCAGGGTGCATGCTGGAATCGCAAGAAAACAAGTAGAAGCAAAAATATTTTCATCGGCAGAGCCACTTGCACTTTTTGTAACCAACACCTTCCACAAGTACATAATATACCCAGTATCGCTTTCCATATTATCCTTTGACTATGATATA